AACGGCGATGAAAACAAAATTACGAAGTAGACTGGACATAAACCACACACTTGAGGTGTCATTGTCTCCTATTACCCCGAGATGGGACCGTCTGGTTGCAGAAAATTAAGCTCGGTGCTGTGGTGAGTCGTCATTTTCATGCACTTTGAATTTGCGTTGTATCGTATTTTGAAGGCATTAAACATTGCTATAGCGATCGGAGTGTTGCGGCCAGATTAGACGCTCCTTGTGTTTATTATTATATTTCGAAAACGCCACAGTTTTCATGCAGCTCATACCAAATTATTTTGTTGTATTATTTCCTCCACACCTTAATTGCCGGTCCCTGAAAATATTGTCTGACATAAACCGGTCCGTGGGGCAAAAAAGGTTGGGGGCCCCTGCTGTAAGGTGTCAAAGACCAATAAATATTCATATGTGTGCCAAGTTGGAACGTAAAGAAGGAGAGAAAAATATTTTCAGGTTATCCAGACAGAGAGATTGAGCTAAAAAGGATGTGCTAATTATGTCTCAATATATAGCCTGTGAATGGAATGCTCTGTTCATTAAAAAAACAAACAAACAAAAAGCACAACGTCAGTTTAAAATGACACTCAGGTTTGTGAAATATAAAGACTTTCTATCTTGGTGCAAATAGACACTTGCTAAATCAGCCACTCTTCCCTACTGCTGTGCTCATTTGAAGTTGAAGTCTTATTGCCAAACTGAGTTCAAAGGGAAGCTGTCAGCATGTTAGCATCTCATTCTTTCATTCTCTTGGAGCAAATTCGGTGGTTTATTGACTCAATGAAAAAGCAAAAGACCATGAGAAAGACTAATCTAGAGTGAGCGAAGCAAAGATTTCTTTTCTGTTACATCTGTTGACATTGTCTTCAACTGTCTGGCTGTTTGCATATCCATTTAATTAAACTTGAATACATATCTTATTTAGCCTGCCACAGAAAGTGATAGCAAATTGCTGGTTGGATCTTTAATCTCTCTTCTATCATGTCTTTCTTCCACATACTGGCCATTTTAATCGGCCAATTACCATAAGTACTACCTAATTTAAATGCAGTCTTTTGTATTTTTGTTTGCCTTGTTATCATGGAGTGTTAATCTGTTACCATGGGATGGAGTTTACAAATTTCATACAAACGATTCTTGGAAATTATGTGAAATAATTGCCAATTACTTTGTGCAAAGACACTGTTTACTCTCACTATGATGGCCATCGATCCATCCTTCCATCCATCTTCTACAGTACAAAATGGTGCTTGTTTTCATTCGGGGTGTTGGTGAGGTGGAACCTCCACCCATTTTCTGATCCACTTTATCCTCACAAAGGTTGCGGGCGTGCTGGAGCCTATCCCAGCTGTCGTCAGGCAGTAAGCGGGGACACTCTGAACCGGTTGCCAGCCAATCGCAGGACACACAGAGATGAACAACCATCCACGCTCACACTCACACCTAGGGACAATCAGCCTGCCATGCATGTTTTTGGAATGTGGGAGGAAACCGGAGTATCCGGAGAAAGCCCACACAGGCACGGGGAAAACATGCAAACACAGGAAGGCCGGAATCGAACCCGGTATCTCTGCATTGTGAGGTCGACGCGCTAACCATTGGACCACCGGGGCGCCGAGCTGGAACCTGTCCCAGCTAATTATGGGTGAAAGGCAGGTCATGAATTGGGCACCAGCCAATTGAACTGCAAAATTCTCACCTATGGACAAAACAGAACACGGATGTCAAACTTGATTTTATTCTGGGGTCAGTGTTGTTGTTATAGTTGCCCTCAGGAGGGCAGTTACAACGGTGGAAAAACTTCGGGCCTGGTTTGCTAAGCTGTCATATATCACGCACTAAATTGATTGTTCACTCTCACACATTTTGCGTGTTGTTAGTGGGTGTGCTGCTTTATTTACTCTTAAATAATAAGTGGGATCCAGGAAAGACCAGGGTCCAACAAAGTAAGGGATGGATCCATGTCATGTCCAGGGACCCAGCCATGTCTGCATGCACAGAAAGTTCGGAAGTGGGAAAGACCTTTGTGACGTTTAAAAAAGAAAATGGTGTGTTAACCTCTCTTACATTTTTCCCCCAGCTATCTTGACATTGTGTGGATGTTGCTGACTTTCCTGTATCTAGGCTCTGCTTATCCGGTTTATCACTCCGATTGGTACGCCCACGACGTCTAAAGTGAATGGAATGTACCCTCTGCTGTTACTTTTGGATGGTAAAGGTTCTGATATAGAAAATATCGGCTAATGGAGACATGATTTCACTTCAATATCTAAATGTCGTAAATGATTTCTAACCATCTTTTCCTGCATTCTTTTCTTGATTATTTTAAAACTGGTGATAACCTATTTTTTCCAGCCCCTGAGGATAACTATGACATGACTCCACTGAATAAAGTTTGACAGGAAGGTTCTATGTGACAATATGAGCAAATGTAGTAGAAACAAGGGAAATGTTAGGTTGATTGTTTTTAGTTATCATACATTTGCATATTATTAATGATGCATTGATCATGCTTGCAATGAAGAATGCTTATGCCTGCAATTATTAATTGATTATGCTGCAAAGAAGATATGATTTTTCTTTATTGGGCTAATTATTGCACACAAATCCACCTTGGGCTGAGCGATCCCACCACCTGACAAGGACCAAAAAACCAAATCTACTGATCCAGCCCCAGCTGCCCCCTATTGGTGACACCATTCAACAGAGGTTGATTTCACGGTATACGGGCAAAATAACCCCGGTGAAAATCAACCTGGGACCAGGTAGTCTACCCTAAGGTCCTGAAGAAAACAACCGATATAGTTCAATTCATCATTGATGAGCCACAACCCCACCCTTCTCACCATCTCTCCATGACATTCCCGCTCACGCTTACAACAGCTCCTTCCTGGTTATTCATCCAACTCCCCTACACTACAGTTTCGTCGATTCATTCATGACCCCGCCCCGGAGGACATCTGACACACCATGGACAGGGACATCCCTTAACGATCAACATGTGGTCATTGTTGCATGCATTTGCATCTTGTTCTACTAATAAGATGTTGACATCTGATCTTTCCATACAACCCTTGTTTGACGTTGCGCCAGCCGCCTGCGACGATGATGTTGCTGATACCTTTATTTAAACCTTTTCAGGTTTCGGACTCTTACGAGTCCGAGAGGGGGAATGAAGTCTGTATTCTGCTCATATTTCGTCATGCTGTATAACTTTCCCATGCCCGCAGTGTAGCTTGGCGTCCTTGTAACAATCATCACCTAGAATTGGAATACTCCCTACTGAAGACGCACAAACTTTGGAATGCGCCAAGCTGAGAATTGGTTGAGGAGAAACGAAAGTTATGATATCACACTTTGTGTCTCGGTACCGCCCTTCTGATGGTATAAAAATGATGTGAAGCTCTTCCTGCTTCGCACTCGTGACGCGCAGCCATTGTCTGTAATTCGTGGGTGCCCGGAATATTCTGTTATTAAAAGCTTCGAAGGAACTGTTCATCAACTCCAGCCTTTATTTGGATTACCAACATTCTCCTCATCCGAAATTCAACGAACACGCGGGGGAGAGGAGGCCGCTCTTCCCCCAACAAATGCAAGAGGCTACACAGCCATTAGTTTGCTCATTTGTTGGCAAGTATCCTTCCGTTCCCCCTACTGATCAATGGACAGAATATTTTAAATCTCCTGTCCTTGATCTTCACACTCTCTTTGGTGTTGGCTCCCTTCCCTCAGTGAGTCTCTTCATATGTTTTCCGGTAAGTGTGCAAAGTGGATGCAGAGTACATGTTTAAGGACAAACCTGAAGTTTTAGTTATCGGTCCTGAAACTTGGAGAGAGAAACTTTTCCCCTAAATTAAAAACACTGTGTTAATTCTACACGAGATAAACATTTTGATGTTATTTTCGTCTCTGAGCTAAATTTTATTCCACATATTAAGAACGTTATAAACACGGGAATTTATCATGTGAAGAATATAGCCAGAGTCTGGCCGTTTCTCTCTCGTGAAAACTCGTATTGATTACTTCACTGCTCTCCTTTCTGGTCTTCCCAAGAAAACAATATCTAGTCTTCAACTTTTATAGAATACAGTGGCGCGCATGCTGACGAAGACCAGAAAAAGAGAGCACATTACACCAATTTTAATGTCACCGGATTGGCTTTCTGTGTGTTATTAGATAGACTAAGGTTCTTTCATTGATTCATAAAACTCTTAATGACCTGGGTCCTTGTTATTTATTGGTTTTGCTTTTACCATACCAACCCTTGCGGACCCTGAGGTCCTCTGGCACTGGACTTTTAACTGTTTCTGCAGTTAGAACCAAAACCCGCAGCAAGGCAGCTTTCAAATTTTAAGGCCCATTTTTGTGTAATGGCCTGCCAGAGAACCTGAGGGCAGCAGAGAACGTCGATATTTTTAAAAAGAGACTCAAGACTCACCTTTTTAGTTTAGCGTTTGTCTGATTTTATCATCTTTTTTTTTCTTTTACAAATTTACTCTCACCAATTTATATTCATTTTTTTCTCGTGATCTTATTTTATCTTGTTTATTGAACTTTGTTTAAACTCCAGTCTTCCTCGCTGGGGGGCCGTCTCCGTTGGGGGTTCTGTTCATTCTCTGCTGGTGGGGATGCTGCCATTGGGAAGGTCCTGGCTCGGTGGGGAGGAGTCAGTGTTTCTTCAGTTTTATTCTCAATGTGAAGCACTTTTGAGTTGCATTTTATATTATAAGTTGCTATACAAATAAAGTTGAATTGAAATGAATTAAATTGAATTTTTTAAGGGGAATTTTTCCCTGCAGTTACGCATCAGAAACAACAAAGGAAAAAAATCTGCTAGCCCTGTTATTCTCGACCAATAAATGTAATGGGTAAAATGCCGTCATATTGGAACCAGTTTAGCGCAACATAAGATTACTAAATGGTAAAAAAAAAAAATGAACGAATTTTTTAAAAAGTGATAATGTACAAACAAAGGAGAGAGTTGATTGACTGAGCTGCTGAGTTAGATTGCCATTTCACAGTGCCTCTCTGATCAACTCATGATGAAAAAAAAAAAAAAAAAGAAGTTTGAAGTGATGGAACTCGAAAGGTTAGTGGGAGATACAGATTACAGAGTTAAAGAAAAAAAATCACAGAATTTTGAAGAAACCAGCGACCACAAAAACAGTTTAGTTTTTTACTTTTTAGGAATCAGTCATTTGCCGTCTTTCTATGTTCTCTTTGTGCCTGCAGGGTTTTCTCCTGATCCTCTAGTTTCCTTCCACATTCCAAAAACATGCACAGTACATTAATCGAAGACTCTGTAGGTGTGAGTGTGGATGTAAATGCCTTTGTCCATACTTGCCATGTGATTGGTTGGCAACCAGGTGTACCCCAATTCCAGAGGTGGGTAATTCGTCAGTACTGATGGAAAGTCCGTCGATCCATCACTGATGGATGCCCATTTTACTGACAATTGATGGGAAACTTTTAATTGAAAAGTGACAAACTATGCACCAACAGAAGTGGGTTTTCACTGGAATTGTCACTAACCGGGTGAGTACTGACAGACATTTTAAGTCCGTCACTGATGGACACCCGTGACAGAAATGTTCCGCGTGTCTTGCAGCGGTGATTGTACACTGGGGTTGCTTTGATCATACTGCACTGACTGTGGGCTAATCGTTATACTATATTGCACATTCTTAAGTTCTCGCTCCTCTGTTTACATCATAGCACCTCCCACCAGAAAGTCCATTCAGGAGGGAGGAGATGACAAAGGAGCAAAGCTGGAGGAGGTAGAAATGTGTTGGGGTAATTTACCAGATAAGCCAATGGGACACGTTACGTTGACGCAGGTGGTTGTAGCCATATGCAGCCGTCAATGCACAGCAATCCATGCCTCAAACACCAACATTATATCCCTTGGCATGAAGTAGGAAGATTTCCAATTTCTTATAACCATAATAGTCTCTTTGATGCCATCATTTGATCAAGACACCCGCCAAAGATGACGTCATGTCATTGAAACATTTCACAAATGCACCATCTGCGTGACAGAATTATGATTTTCACCACAAATCTCGACTTCATGCTTTTTGTTTGAAATGGGATTAAAGTCAAATAACCACTCTGTTCCGCTTCACCATTTTACTTGTATTATTTTCAGTTGGTTGACACGACAACAGAAATCTCCAGGCTTTGAGTCTAACTTCAGTCTCTATTGGGTCCTGTATGCCGGATGTAGGGTGAGAGAGAGAGAGAGAGAGAGAGAGAGAGAGAGAGAGAGAGAGAGAGAGAGAGAGAGAGAGAGAGAGAGAGAGAGAGAGAGAGAGAGAGTGTAGAGCGTAACCCTTGTGCTGCAATTTCTACGATGTTTGTAAGACATGGGTTACCCCATATGTTACAATTTGTACAATTATTGCATGTTGTCATCTTTAAATCAAAGACAAGGCATAAAAATTGTGTGATATGAAATATTCTAATTCATGTTTTTTATATATATATGTTTTGGTCATAGCACAGTACCGCTTTTATTGTCCATAGAGGGCAAAAATACAAAGAAAAAAATAAGAACTATATGTGTATGTATAGCACTGATGCCACTGAACATGTCGAGTGGTTGAAAGTGAAATAAATATTCAGGAATAATACTTTTACAATTTTTGTAAAATTGTATGTTGCGTTATATAAACTTATTTAGATCGACTGCAGCACATGGGTTTTAATGTCGTGTTTTGGACTTTACCACTATACACTCTGGGGTTTCAAGGCACACACGGTATGTTGTATTTTGTTTATTTATTGAACATTTGAGTCAAAGAGATGATTGTAAAAAGTGATTGTAAATACCATATCATACCATACCATTATCTTCCACTTACCCAGGGTCAGGTCACGGAGGCAGAAGCTTCAGCAGGGAAACCAATACTTCCTCTCCTATGATTGTAAATACTATGAAATATGTTTTAGTTTTCACTTTATGATACGCTGCTTCTGCTGCAAATGCATGTGATGTAGAAAGTAGTAAGGTCTTGATGCCAAATGGCTACCACTGAAACGACACTGCCGAAGAAGAAGATCTAACTGTTAAAATAGTGGTGACGAACTGCAATTTTGCATTGATGGAAGCACGGTTAAGATAACAATTTATATATATATGTTTTGGTCATAGCACAGTACCGCTTTTATTGTCCATAGAGGGCAAAAATACAAAGAAAAAAATAAGAACTATATGTGTATGTATAGCACTGATGCCACTGAACATGTCGAGTGGTTGAAAGTGAAATAAATATTCAGGAATAATACTTTTACAATTTTTGTAAAATTGTATGTTGCGTTATATAAACTTATTTAGATCGACTGCAGCACATGGGTTTTAATGTCGTGTTTTGGACTTTACCACTATACACTCTGGGGTTTCAAGGCACACACGGTATGTTGTATTTTGTTTATTTATTGAACATTTGAGTCAAAGAGATGATTGTAAAAAGTGATTGTAAATACCATATCATACCATACCATTATCTTCCACTTACCCAGGGTCAGGTCACGGAGGCAGAAGCTTCAGCAGGGAAACCAATACTTCCTCTCCTATGATTGTAAATACTATGAAATATGTTTTAGTTTTCACTTTATGATACGCTGCTTCTGCTGCAAATGCATGTGATGTAGAAAGTAGTTAAGGTCTTGATGCCAAATGGCTGCCACTGAAACGACACTGCCGAAGAAGAAGAAGATCTAACTGTTAAAATAGTGGTGACGAACTGAAGTTTTTGCTT